CTTCGGCTTTGCTCCCGGTGACCCTGGTCTGCTGGGGACCGTCTCCAGCAGACCAGGGACACCGGGAGCAAAGCCGGGGAGGCGGAGGGGTGCTGGGGCGCTGCCGGTTGGCCTCTTAAGGGGGGGTAGTCTTATACGGCGAGTATAAGACGAAAACCTATCTTTTAACTAGAAAATTAGGGGGTCGTCTTATACGCCCAGTCGCCTTATACGCCGGAAAATACGGTATGTGAATGGAAACTAGTGGAATCTGGCAACCTCGCGAGTGGGCAACAGTAAACATAATGGCTTGTAGGCCACACATAAAACCCCGATGGGCGGCATGCAGCCCCCAGCCCGCAGGCAGCCCACCACTGAACTAGACCAGCATTATATGTAGCCTATGGCTCGGACTTTACAAAGAAGGTGCTCTCTACTGGGGATGCAGAGGTAGAAACAGAATAATTCATAGGTTCTAAGGCCAGAAGGAAGGAATCACTGTGATTATCTCTCCTGTTCATCTGTACCACCCAGGCCATAGACCGCTCTGCAAATAATTCATAGAGCAGATCTTTCTGAAAAACATTCAGCCTTGATTTTAAAACTGCAAGTGATGGAGAATCCACCAGTGTTGTTCCAGTGGTGAATTGCCCTCACTATTAAAAAAAAATCATCTTTCCAGTCTGAATTTATTTAGCTTCAACTTCCAGCCAGTGGTTCTTATTATGTGTTTCTTTGCTAGTGCGAAAAGTCCATTGCATACAAGGGAATAGAAATTTGACAGTGTTGTCGTCATGTTGATCTCGGGATGTTCGAGAGACCAGGTTGATGATGTGATGTCTTTTGTTGGACCAGCTTCTGGTGGCAAGGGAGATAAGCATTCAAGTTACACAGAGCTCTTCCTCAGGTGTAGCTAAGAAGCTTCTCTCTTGCATTGACAGAAGGTCCAATAAAATATGTGATATCACCCACTGCGTCTCTCTCTTCTTCTTGTGGATACTTGTAGACTGTGATTAAATCATCCCTTCACCTTCCCTTTATTAAGCTAACTAGACTGAGCTCTTGTTTCTTCAAATTGAGGCTGGTTGCCTTTCTGGAAGATATATTCTAGTCAAACACAAATTATTGGGTTCAATATGAGGGCAACTGGGTGAAATTTTATGGCCCGTGCAATACAGGAAGTCAGACTAGAGGATGTAATGCTCCCTACTGTTCTTAAAATGTATGAAAACCAAACCCGGCTCTTACCAACTCACCATAAGTATTGTACATTCCAATTAAATGTAATTCTGTCATCTGCTGTGGATATGATTGAATTTACACATACCTTTAGATACACCATTGATGCAAAACATTCTCCTTTTCTTTCTCTTTCAAGATATATGTAAAGATTGAGCAAACTGTCAATGTGTACATTACATAATGGAATAATTTGTTTTAAACCATGTGGCGCCAGAGCAAAAACCCAGTTCCATTTTTAAACCATCACCCCACCAAAGTTTCTACCACATGACCACCTTTAAGATGTCATTTTTAATTTGTGCTTATTTCTCCCACCCCTTGCTTGACCTTAATTTTATGAATGTGGTGATATGTAGGAAAGGGATCCTGTCATAACATGTCAATCTGGATCTCAATGTTTCTGGATTTGCTGCCTTCCGATCTTGACCTCTTTCATTTAATGTAAGGTATCCTCATCATGTTTGCTTATTGCAAGTTTTGCAGTAAGAATCTTAATCAGAGCAATGAAGTTATTCTATACACTAACACTATGCATTATTGATACACAAACTCATACCACTAGTTGAGGTACTGTAGTATAAAAGGCACTGTATAAATATAGACTATTTATAATGCTAATTGGCACTTAGCCCCTTGAAATTTGACAGAATTCCTTTCCTACACACACGTTGCCTGCCTCTATTTGCATCAATAATATGAATACCTTTCCCACATCTGCAGCCCACATGAACAAAGGCTAGAAAGTAGATAGGGCAAGTTAGCATAATTGTGATCAGATGCTTTTGATGGTTAACAGCATTTGCTCAGTGACAACTGTGTTATTAAGCAATTCCCAGTTCTGAGCTAGGCAGAACAGTATCCTGGAAGATAACAGTGATACCAGTGCAAAAGTGATTCTTAGATCAGAATAGGTTCCCCTGACTCTCCTGCTCTTTTACTCCAAGAGAAAGAAGGAAATCAGTAAATAATCTGACGTTCCCAGTCAGGCTGTGACACTGACCCGGTGAGACGGGAGGAACACTGCTAACACAACACTGGTATTAATAAAGCTGGTCAAAACATTTTGGGAGAACGTGTTGAATTTGATGACATTTTTGACAGGAAGTCTAAATGAATCATTTCAACATTCGTGGTTGGATAATGTCAAAATGTTTTGTTCAAACATTATTGTTTTGATTCTGTTTTGAAGTATAGGTTATATTAGAATTTTAATGTTAAATTGTATCAACTGTATTGTATTATATTTAATTCTTTGATAGTGTCAAACTGCTGAACTATCAACCTCCATCCCCCCTTTTTTAATACTGTTGCATGGAACATTTCAACATTTTGCTTTTCATGCTGATTTGGAACAAAGACAGATTTCAAAATGCTGGAATTTCCCCTGGAATGGAAATTTTGTTTTCTGACTACCTCTAGTTTTTAATCACACCAATCAGGCAGAGTTTGTCCCACAATAGTACAATAATATCCAAAGACTCAAAACAATCTTTTTAGCTTTCTGGGCTTTCTCCTAAAAATCATTCTTCCTTATACTACTTGCTTTTAACGTTTCAAAATTTCAATAAAATAATTGGAGACAATCTCAGAAACCTAAGTCTTCAGTCCCTGCAAATACATTTGTAAAATTGTCATTTAAATGGGAATATATATATTGTTTCACACATTATCTTTATTAAATTTTTACTCCTATTTCTGTTTTGTGTAAACAGGTTTTTTTTTAAATGGGAATTTAAAACAAATGGGTGAGATGGTAGAGAAAAGACATTGTTGTTAACATCTAGAGACAAAGCTACACACATTTATGGAGAAATAAGGGTTTCACATTACCTCATATCAAACTCAGCATTTACAGTTTTCTTTTTTGGCCATGTCTCTCTGCTAAACCTGACATGAAGCCAAGGTGAAAGCTGAGATTTTCCCATTACAGAATACCAAATCTATGATAAGCCATGCCATGAAAATCCAGTTTAGGAGAAACAGAAAACAAAAAGCAAACAAAATTGCTGCAAGATCAGTGATAAGTTTTGTATAACTTACAAAATCTGTTTTTTTAGGGATCTTATAAATAAAAAAATAGGATCAGTAGCGTAACATGATGAAGACAACCAATTTCTTGCATTAGGAAAACTAAAGCAACATTAAAGACTGTTTTCAGCCTGTTGCACAGTACACATGGTAAATTCTGAAGCACCTAAAAAAGTTGCAAGGAGTTGCTACAGCAGAAGTGGCCTGTGAATACTGTACCTAAACCGTGATCTTCTTAAGATATGTTTTTCATTTTGCCCTGTGATACAATCAAGATCAGTTATGATCTTTGCTATGTTCTGTGAATGATTGTTCTTTTTTTTTTTCATTAAGACAAGTGCATTCATCATTAAGCATTAAAACCAGTGCTGCTTTGCTCTACTATTAACTACTCTAATACTCTGATATTAACTACTATTAATCATAAATGCCAATACAACAAAGTGACCTTCATTCCGGCAGCACTAGGTGAGGTGTCACTGCTTTTCTCAAAGATTAGTTCATAGAGAGGATCTCAGTATTGCAACTTCTGAATCACTTGCCACACAAGGAAAAAGATGACTGACAAAATGCACGTTAGAGTCAGACAGACTGAAGTGGGCAGAGTTCAGCTCGTAACTTCAAAACAAGCCTGGCAAATAACTATAGAAACACTGAATTATAGCCACTGCCTTTAAAGCCAGGGGAGGTTACTTAAAGTTGTGTTTCTAATTCTGCATATTTGCCAAAAAAATAAAATGGGAAACAAATAACAAATCCTTCAGTGCCCTCCTTGAATGTGCTGCCCTCTACTCTGCCTGGCTGCCTTCCAAACCTGACTCATGTTCTCGGGCTAGTAGTCCCTTGACATCTCCTTTGCCCTCCGTCTCCCTTCCCTTTCCCTCTGAAGTTTTCTTTGTAAAAACCACTTCCTTACCTGCATAATGGTCAAATACGGTAGGCACATACTCCTCTGGGAAGGCATCATTAGCATAACTCATCAGCAAACAGGTTTTCCCCACTGCACCATCCCCAACCACCACGCACTTTAACATCTTCTTCACGTTATTGCTGCTGCATTCGGTGCTGGTGTCATCTTCCTCCTTACAGTTCATTCTTGCGGCACTGCTGCTGGTCCCAGGACTTCCAAGTGCACATGAAGGAAAAATGAAGTGCAATTGTATTCACTCTTCCTGAGTTTCGGAGGCTCTCCACCTCAGGAAATCATACTGTCTCCAGGCTGTTCCAGCTGCCTCTAACAATTACCGTATCAGTAAAGAGAAGCATTGAGGTAAATAAATGATACATCTATTAAAAATTCAAGAAAAGGATTGTCCTTTCTTGTGAGCTGGAGTCAGGAAATACTCATCCTGACAGAGAGACCTCTGTTTATTGCAACTTTAAAAATATCAGCAGTCAGAGGCGTTGATTCTCTTCTCCCCTTCTCCAGTTTGGCCAGAGGATTCCGGTATTCCTGCTAAATCCACTCCATTTTCCATTTCATTTCTAACATGGAGGAAAGCTGGAGGTTTTTAATGGAGTTTTTCCTTTCTTTCCTCAGCTTTCTGTGGG